GCATGTGGTGCTGGGGGATTGAACCGTGGTCCCTCTGATTTGCTAAGCTTGTTCTAAGTAGGTGCTTTAGACCACTGAGCCATCTCACCAGCCCTAGTTAGATTTTTAAATTCTCAATCTTTGATATTATTTTGCAAAATGAAGAAACTGAGGTTAGATAAGTTGGGTTTTTTGTTTTCTTTTTTGCAGAACCGGGGATTGAACTCAGGCCCTTGCGCTTGCCAGGGAAGCGCTTATTCCACTGAGCCATCTCCCTGGCCCCTGGGTAATTTTTTTTATGCTTAGTTTATGGAGGGACGTAGCACAAGTAGTTGGGGGTGGTAGCACATGCCAGTAATCCCAGCATTTGGGAAGCTGAGGCAGGCGATCACCATGAGTTCAAGGCCTGCCTAAGGTATGTAGTGAGTTTAAGGCAGCCTGATGAAATCCTGTCTCAAACAAATGAATAAAAAAAGGACCTAGCACAGTGCCTGTTCCACAATGTATGTTTTCCTTTAATATAACTGACATGAAAATTGGGTTTTTAGACCAACATTTGCCTTTCTATTCTGTACATGAAGTTAGAATCAACATTCATTCATTCATGCCATAAACTTTTACTTAGTACTATGTTGGGTGGAACATACAAATAAAACATTCTCCACTGTCGAGATTGAAGTGCAGTAGGAGTGGCAGGCAGTGGGACCATTACAGTCCTGGGCAGTATGTACTCTGATCAAGGTATGCCCTTATGGAGGTTATGAAGGGAGCTTACTTGGGCTAGGGAGTCAAGGAAGCTCCTGGTGAGTCCTGAGAGCTGTGAAGGAGATACCAAGGAAGAGAGGTGAAGGACAGTTTTCTCGGTGCAGGAAACAACAGAACTGCAAAAGACACAGACAATAGGAAGCTCAAGGAGTTCTGGCTAGTGGAAGTAAAGATTGGTGACCAGAATGCAGGGCTTTTAGGCCATGTGAAGAGGCTTGGACTTTACCCAAAATGGTTAATAGATAACCATAGAAAATTTTAGCAAGGAGAGCCAGCCAAATAGCTCAGCGGTATGGGGGGCGGTTTGATCCCTGGGCCTGCCTGCTGCCCCCCCCTTGGGGCACACCACACAGCAATTGAAAATCAAGACTGGGTGTGGTGGTGCGTGCCTGTAAATCCCAGCTCTTGGGAGGCTGTAAACAGGCAGATCACTACGAGTCCGATCTAGTAGTGAGACCCTGAACACCCTATAGACCCTTCCCGAAAATACAAAACAAAACAAAAGTTTTATTTATTTATTTATTTTTTGAATTTTTTTAAACATTTATTTATTGTGGGGGGGGCAGCTCAGCCCACCAGGGGGCGCGACTGGCTGGCATGTGGTGCTGGGGGATTGAACCGTGGTCCCTGTGCTTTGCCAAGCTTGTTCCAAGTAGGTGCTTTAGACCACTGAGCCATCTCTCCAGCCCCAAAACAAAAGTTTTAGCAAGGAAAATAACCCAGTCATACTCATTTTTTATTTATTTATTTTTTTTTTTTTTGTAGTACTGGGGATTGAACTCATTTTAGAGGTTAGGGATGTAGCTCATTTGGTAGAATGTTTCCTAATGTGTAAGGCTCTGGGTTCAATCCCTAATACTGGGGCGAAAAATTAGGATTTTAGAATGTACAGTTTGGTTGCTGGTGGAATAGATGCATTGGATGGCTTTAAGAGTAAAAGCATGGGGGGGTAGGGAAAAAAAAAAGAGTAAAAGCATAGCAGGATGTGGTGCATACCTGTAATCCTAGCACTCTGGGAGGCTGACGGAGGGATCACAAGTTTGAGGCCAGTGTGGGCAACTTAGTGACTCAGTGAGTCCCTGCCTCAGTAAAACAAAACAAAAAAAAAAAAAAAACAGAAAACAGGGATGTGGCTCAGTACAAATGCCCTAGCTCCAATCCTCACTACCAGAAAATAAAAGCAGTGGGAGCAGCTCAGTTTCCATACCTCAGAATTAAGATTTCCACGAGAAAATCCTTACAGATTCAAACTTTATGGTGTTGGAAGCATATTAGTTCCTGCTCTTTGCCGTAGCGTAGGACATATCACCACCTTGTGATTCCTCTACTCTTTTGACAGAGGAGTGGGAATGAGACTACTCTAGATTCAAGCTACTGGTAGAAACTTACTGGGGCTGAGATTTTTCACTTAGAGAAAACATAAGAGATGCTAGGAAAAGATTCATGGAGACAGAAGAGCATAGACAGATTTTAGGGTAAGGATAGTTGACCAGTGGTGTAAGAAAGAGGGTTAGAGGGGACTGGGGAGATGGCTCGGTAGGATAAGTGCTTGACTGGCAAACTCAGGGATCTGAGTTCAATACCCAGTTCCGCCAAAAAGAAAAAAAAAGAAAAGAAGGAGGGTTAGAGGATGAAGCACTATGAGACTCCTCACTTACTTCAGTTATGAAGGCACCTCTTGTCTCATTTTAGGCCCGAGTGATCTTTCCTACTCAACCATTTCTTTTATTCTATTGGCATCAATAATGATTACTTATTTCTGGTCCCTTGCCACTTTGACCACCTCTGCAACTTCAGTGAAGCACTGCAAAACAGAAGGCCTCTCTCACTATGCTTTTTATTTGTAATGTAAATGCTCAGTCTCTGCTGCTGATGTTAGGGACTCAGGATAAAAAGATTTGATTTCAATTCTTTTTCTACTAAGATCCTTCTGGAAAAGAAAAAGCCTTCTAAGTAGTAATTGCATGGCAATTAAAATTTGGTTTGAATGCAAAGTAAAAAATAATGAAACTTGAAAACATTTGTCATGGAAGAGAGATAGTCCCTCCTTTAATGGCCAGCCCTCTTGTCAGCCTGCTGTCTCACCTGTATGAATTCTACAACAGAGTTCGTAGGGGTTAGTGAGGTACCAGCTGGCTGAGGAATAGAGGAGAAGAAAATTCTAAGTTGTAACAGGAAGAAGGGAAAGGCACTGGAGCACTAGGCTTACTGTACCCACTTTTATTCAGATTGGGTGTGTGGCATGGGGGCTGACCTAAGTGGGATTTCCTTTCCAGTAGTATCAATTATAGTAATAGTAGAGCTCTACCAAATAAAACATTTTCCAAGCCTGATGTTGTGTTATATCACTGACTGGATTGATTGTCCTTTTCTTCTCCATTTCCTTCCTTCTCTTCTCACTCTTCCCCCTTCTTCCCTCATCCTCTCTTCCTCTCCATTCTCTACTCCTCTTCCTCTTTCTTCAGCTGAACTTGTGAACACCTAGTAAAATCATCAGTAGTGAACTATTCGTAATAGGAAATTGAAGTATAGAAGATGGATATCTGGAAAATTAAGCTTTTGAGTAGTTGAGAATTAAGATATTTTTCCTACCAGTCTTGCACTTGGGGGAAAAATAATTATACATGTGTAGAAAATTGTAAATAGTGATGAATTTCTCTCTTAAAAGTGATTTTTGGAACATTATAGAAGAACAGTTATAATATTCCCTCAGACTGGATTAAGTATCAATTTAATGCAGGTATAAATAGCAAAGGGTTGTTTTTAGGGGGTTTTCTCATTGTAAATATGTGAGTTTTTCTTCAATATTGTTTTGTCCTTAAAAACATAGCTTAGAACTCTTAACTGGAATCTTAGAGGAAAGAGCTGGGACATAGCACACTAACCACAGGTTGGTGGTTGAGTTTAGAGCTGGAAGCCTTGAAGCAGCGTTTCTGGAAGCATGCGAAGCCAGCAGCCAGACCCAGAGCTGGCCAGACGGTGAACGTGAATGTCATCGTGAAAGACCTGGGCACTGATGGGAAGGAAGAGCTAAAGGCAGATGTGGTGCCTGTGACCTTGGCAGCTGAGACCCAGGATGAAGTAAGCCACACAAAGCCAGGTATTTGTCTTTATAGCCACAGAGAAGTTACAGAACCCTTTTCCTTGGGAGCTTCGGACATAGAGAGCAGTGTCTCAGGCCCGATTTGCATACATAAATATAGCTGTAGCATGCCTAGAGGTGTGTATGGGCTAGACAGGATGGGTTTATTTTTTTAAATAAGATTTGTCTTATTGTAAAAGCAGTAAGATCTTGGTGTAGCGGTACATGCCTATAACCCCAGCACTTTAGTAGGCTGCTTCAGGAGGATTGTAAGTTTGGTTCCCACCTGGACAACTTGATAAACACCTATCTCCAAATAAAAAATAAAAAGGGAGCTGGGCATGGTGGTATGTACCTGTAATTCTGGTACTTGGGAGGCTGAGGCAGGAAAATTGCTGAGTTTGGTCAGCCTGGGCCACTCAGTGGGTTTAAGGCCAGTCTGAACTATAAAACAAGACCCTATCTCAAAAAAAAAAAAAAACACAAAGGGGCTGAGACAGGTGATTAAGACTGGTGTGATGGTGCACACCCATAATCCCAGCACTTGTGAAGCTGTAAAGAGGAGAATCATGGGCTGGAGAGATGGCTCAGTGGTCTAAAGCACCTACTTGGAACAAGCTTGGCAAAGCACAGGGACCACGGTTCAATCCCCCAGCACCACATGCCAGCCAGCCCCACCCCCAGGTGGGCTGAGCTGGCCACACACACACACACAATAAATAAATGTAAAAAAAAAAAAGAGGAGAATCACTGTGAGTTCAATCTGTCTGATCTATGTAGTGAGACCCTGAACACCCTATAGACCCTGACCTAAATATAGGAGAGAAAAAAAAAAAAACCCTAAAAATTTTAAGATAAAAAGTAATTAAAACAATTTTAAATGGCGCACACCTGTAATCCCAGCTCTTGGGAGGCTGTGAACAGGCAGCTCACTACAAGTCCAATCTCCTAGTGAGACCCTGAACACCCTGTAGAACCTTCCCTAAAATAAAAAAAAAAAAAAAAAATTAAAAAATGGTCAGGGATGTCATTTCAGGCCAAAGCTTGGGCTCAAATGCCAGTACCACTAACAAAAAAAGGCAATATATATATCCACATTAGAAATATACATAGGAGAAACAAAAACTCTACGAAACTGCTTCACATACTTTAACTCATTTAATCCTTACAACTTCATGAAGGAAATAACATTAGTATCCTTATTTTGTTTTTTTCTTTTTTTTTTTTTTTTTTTGGTGGAACCGGGGATTGAACGCAGGTCCTTGCGCTTGCCAGGGAAGCACTTATTCCACTGAGCCATCCCCCCAGCCCCAGTATCCTTGTTTTCTACAGAGGTTGCTGATACGCAGAACACTAAGCTACTTGTTCAGGTTTATATAACTACTAAGTGGTAGGACCAACAACCTAATCTAGGTCATCCATCTCTTGAGGCTCAGGTACACATATGCTTTCTGTCTTGTTTGTTTATTTATTTATTTATTTATTTATTTATTTATTTATTTATTTGATACAGTATCTCACTACATAGCTCAGATTCATGATTCTCCT